CCCCCTCTTTTTCGCGAGTGAGCGCTAAGGAAACTACTTAACGCTAACGACTACGTCGTTTTTGTTTTTCCTTTCTTTCGATTCTTGGCCTCTTCGTAGATGTGTCCCTGTCGTCGGAGGACTTTCGCTCACTTCGATGCTTCGAGAGAATCGATGGAGGACGTAGGTGTCGGAAGTGTAGTGTTCAGGTACGAAGAATCGTTGTTAGGAGATCCTTGCTGTTACAGTTGAGCTTCGAACGATTGACGATAAAGGGACGCGACAGACAGACGAATAGACAGACGGCGGAAAGACCCTTAGCGGATAAAGCCGCGCTTCCGGCACGATCGTGTGTCGGCGGCGGCCGTTTAGACGCTCCAATTCGAGTTTCGGTACGAATGCGAAGAGTCGCCGGAAAAATGAAACCGACCAACAGGAAAAGAATAATACATAGCTGAGCCGAATCGCTACGATCGTTTGTAGGCCGTTTCAAACTACACATACCTTATATATATATATATATATATATATATATATATATATATATATATATATATATATATGTATAATATACGCTTGTAGATATCTCCTCGCGCTCTTATTTCCGGAACGACGGGCACGTCCGTTACAGGGATCGGCGACGCGATCTTCGGCGCTTTCGCGTGCTTAATAAATATCTATTTGGCAAATCCTTTAGCGTTACAGAGTGCTGATGCCTCGCGAGAGAGGCGCCGCTCGCTGAAGTTAACCACCATGGCGTTCACGACACAGACACGTGGGATCTAAGATCTGGTAACTGGAAGTGATCCCTCTTGGAGAGACTCCTCTCTTCATTTTTCGGACAAGCGAACGCAAACGACGTCCAAGAATAACGCGACGCCAGGGTGGTTAATACAGAGACGAGGTCGCAGGTACAATGAACTGGTAACGTCGCGACGCACGCGTCCGAAGATCGATCGGTCGCGGATTAATGACAAATAATCCGCGCACGCGAACATGCTCGTCGCAACGCAGGACTCCCTCGCTCTCTTTTTTCTTATTCTTTTTTCTCGTTTTTTTTTGTCCTCTAATTCCCCGTAATTCCTATTAACAACGACTACGTGCTAGCCACTACCCACTTTGTATCGCTACCCTACGATTAACAACATCAACAGCAACAACACATAATATATCAACGTGAATATAATATCTATACCGTTAGAGCGTAAATCTATGCTCGTATATATATATATACATACGTGTATATGCGTGTGTATATCTGTCTCTCTGCGTATGTGTGTAACGTACATAGATACGCGTACGTTACACGAATGTAGGAAGAGAACGACGCCGACAATCGTGTTGCGAGCGAAGTATGCGACATCCCGTACGGTGATCACACACGGCGAGAAAGATCTCTGACAAAATACACAGCGTCGAGCCGCGATCTAATTGAAAGACATAAATGCATCGATAGATCACCCTGTACGCGGAAACTGACTAATCGGGTAACGGAGAACGCCGACGAAGCCCGCGGCGGAAACTAACGCGGGCAGTATTGGAACATAAAAGAGAAACGCAAACGATCAATCGGAAACACCACCGCTCCGCCTGTATCGCTTATGTTCCAATTATCTCGACAACAACTTCCTCAACTTCGACGAGACGAATAAGTGTAGCTCGAATCACCAGAAAACTAGTGCGAGAAGTCTGCGAATCTTCCACTCTGAGTATCGATCACGTGTCCTCCCCCCAGCGTGAACTCGTGAAAAGTGAAAGGTTTTGCGTGAAAATTTCCACACATCCTTCGGGAAGTTACATGTGGTCTGTTCTTTTCAGCTGCACTGCTGAACTGGTGCAATAAGTTAGAGTGAGAATACTTGTCTCACTTTAACTTATTGAACCTGTTCAGCAGTTCAGCTAAAAAGAACAGACCACTGATCGCGCTCACGTCCTCGAGTTCACGTGGAACTATTCACTGTTCCTCTCTTGGGGAAAAGTTGCATGATCGCCACCCCGAGCGATATCGAGAGAAACCAAGATCTCTACGTCCGCAATATATACAACAGTGCGAAATATAACACCGCAAACCTTAAAGAGGTACATTCGCATAGTAACGCAACGATTAGACTAAGATACTTCCTTAGAGAGGCGAAACATTGAAAGAACTTACAAGCGTAGTAAACTAACGTCGGAAGGCGGGAACTCGAAATAAATATCACTACGCAGAACACTGGAAAGAGAATTGTACCGTCAATAACGATCTAGAAATCTAGTGTCTGACAGAACTCGCGAAGGTTCTCAACCGATCCCTCCCACTGTTATCACCACGGAGATTGCCTGATGTCGCGAAGGATGCGTACTCAATCAATAACGAGAGCTGCCCAATTTCTCGCAAAAGAATATTAAAGGTAACAAGCAATGTTGGATCTTATGAAATGACAGGTATAGCATACTGTAAAAAAGCTGCGAAATAAGAAACTGCCAAGAATATACTGCGTCACTTGGTAGTTTCACAAACGTATTGCTAGAAGATACTTATAAAAAAATTGAACTTTACAAAAGAAAGGTCAACACTTGTGCGTTAATGCACGAGCTATCAGATTCTTCATGCTAGACGGGAAGAGCTCACACGTTGCCTCGAACACGTTCGGTGTCGTCCTCGCTTCACGACTGTCTACCGAACGGGAGAGAAAATCAGCCGCGTCAGTCACGATACAAAGCAACATCGCGAACGATCGGTAACTTCATTCACGGAAGAAATGCAACCAGGAGAATTGGTATCGACTAAGAAGTGGTAACTTTGCGGTACAACGCAAGATGAATTTCGTTCGTGCACATTCGTGTAAATCTAAGCCTATACCGCCGGAGAGATACGCAGCAGCGTTGTCGACTACTCTCCTACAAAGAACGCGTTATATCGTCACGACTATATTTCAAGTAAAGCCAAATGCTATTACTCCTCCCCGTATGCTTTACAACGAACGAAATCTCGCATTATACTCGAGGGAGGTGCACGGGGATATAACTTTTTCTCGGCTGCTAGGATCCACCGTTCTTAAGTTTACGAGATGCTATCGTCAGTAGTAATAAATGCACCTGTTTTAATTGATCATTGTTTTTCCGCTTAAATTAGGGGAACTCGCGCGACAATATCGCGAACGACCCCACTGGATTTACTCTACTCGTCGTCAGCAAAACTCTTGCCAAAATAATACGACAAACAACACGATTGTACAATAGAGTAACAGTAAATTTGAGAGATTTCTTTTACCGTACGCGAGATTCATTAGACTATATTATTGCGCGCGCACGCGACATAGCAAATTATGCGTGTGAAAGGAAAAACAAATTTGAAGCAGACATAAAATTTTGATTAAATTCGGAAAGCAATATCGTCAAAGGCTTTATCGTAAAATATATCGTTATTCAACCGAGCAATTTCGCAAAGCCAATAAAACGAACCCAATAAAATTCTATAAAACAACCACGAAACAAATTAATTAATATAATTGAAATGAACACGTATCCTTCGTGCTTCGCGAGCGCTCGATGCAAATCGTTACATCGCGAACTATATAATATAATATACGTCGAGACTCACGCGCGTTTAGTCAAGTGTGCGGATAGTCAAGCGTCAGTTTTTTTTGCATTTACGCGAATATACGCTCGTTCGATAGCTGTGGTCAATCGGTCAGATCCGAGCGATTACTCTCTCGGCGTGAGTACGTGCAGCGAAAGAATGTACTCAACTTGAAATACAACGCACGACAGAAGGCTATCCTTTTCAACGAACGTGCTAAATGCCACGAGATCACTCGTAAATCATCTCCTATCTGACTTGGCAGATGTGTTTAACGATGGATAAAACTGTCAGAGGCTCAGAATAAAGCTCGGCCTCTGGACCGAGGTGTAAAACGCACGTGCGATCCCTCGACTAAACGCAAAAAATAAAATAATATAAAACGCGATGTGAAATAACCGCGCGCGTTGTTTAAGTATATCTGTGTATATATATATATATATATATATATATATATATATATATATATATATTTATATACATTTGTATATATATATAATATTAAATATTCTGTGTATAAGAAGTCATATATTTGATTCCGTTATTGTTATTCGCGCGATTATCGCCAGATAGTTCCGCCAAAGCAATCGCGACACACCCCGCGTACCTCTGAGCTTCGTTTAAATCAACGCGTTAAATAAATAGCGGATCTTCATTACACGATACAAGACTTACGATGTAACAAGTATTAATTACCCTAAATTCGTTATAATTATGAAGAATCTCTTCACAGATACCTATGTACACGTATCATAGTGCACATAGTCTAAAATATCGTACGATTAGAAACAACAAGGACAATGTTACCTCGTAACATTTTTGATTGTCTTCCTCAAAGAGGTTCGCCCGACCGGACCGTTCGGGATACCAAAAAAGCTGCTCTCTCTCTCTACACGATAGGATACCGAGATACTCTCACTCTCGCGGCGGAATAACGCCTCAATATGTTCCCTCTTTGCCCTCGTCCTTCCTCCATTCCGTTCTCCCCCTCCTCCTCTTCCATAGTACGGGCAACCCCGGAAAAAAAATTACTTTATACGGAGTACTTTCAGTCAAAAATATATATCAGATCGCTATTGCACGCGCGCACACGCATGCGTCCGTGCAAATTTCTCTTAGCACTTTCCAATGTTTCTCCTCTAGGCCAAAGAGATTACACCCTCTCAAGATTATACTTCTTATCGTTCTGACTGGAATCTCCTGAGATCTGACTTACGGAGTAGAGTCGAGAAGATCATCAATTCATTTGTCGCGTAAACGGAGTATCTTGCGGAACGCAATTAGAATTAGTTTTGTAATCGATTAAATAACGCCTTATGCATATAACAACAATATTAAACGTTAGCACTTAGGAAGGTTGCTCTTATTTAGAATTATACACCCACTCGCGCCTATCTCTCGCGAACGATTTCACTGTTCGTTATCGCGCAACGCAACCGACAACGTCGACTACAATTTCAGATCCCGAAATCCCAGACTGCTTAATACTGTGCGAAGTAACTCAGATTTATCGTTAAAGTTTGACATTATTTCTCTTTCCTTCTCTTTTGTTCTCACTCTTTCTCCCTCTCTCTCTCTCTCTTTCTTTCTTTCCCTCTGCCTCTTTCTCCCTCTTTCTCGCGTTATTAAGCAGACATTTTATCGTAAAGAGATCAAGACATAGCGTGTTCCGCATGTCTGGCGACAGGATCGATCGAAGAATCGATCAAACACATATCGTATCAGTCGAATAATGATCATTGTAGTAAAAGACACAGTGTTGAAGTAATAGAAAATTACCTCGATTCATTATTCGACACCTAATCTCTTGAAGTATTAAACGGTAAAAGTTCGGTATATACATACAATTATATATCGTACATACGTAAGACTCTGCTCGTCCGTGCTTCACGTTACATCGAGCTGCACGAAATCACGATCTCTCGTTACAGCTCACACTGTCACCGTATCGATATCCCCGCTGAGAGACTGCGAGAACGTCTTCTTTATCATCATCGAGCACCTGTAGATTAGCACTGTATGCTAACATCGTTAGTCATGAGTATCGGTTCATTTCTTCGTATGTCGGGAACGAATGTCGGGAGGCGTCACGACCGAGTAACAATCTCAGTTTCTCCTCCCCACATGTTTCTTTTTCTTTCTTTCAAATTGCAGAATTCAAACTCGTGTTCGACGCACCAAGTTGTATACGGGATGCCTGGAACGATACGTGTAATGTGGGACGCAGAAGTCGCGAACCAACGTAGTCTTCAGTCGACACAGCTAGACGACCCGTCGTGTAAGTCAATATGTATTCTCGCTGAGTGACTCAGGCATGCTGGCTCCGCCGGTAGATAATAGAGGTAACTCGCCACTCTCGTATTTGCTATAGCGACTACTATACTCTGCTAGCAAATTAGCTTTCACCTGTCGCATTATGAGAGAAAATATCTTAAGATGATGAAACGATGTATTCTTTTTTTTCTTTTGTTAGGATGTTATGTTAGGACGCAAACCTTGGCTCGCTCCTCTTCAAGTCTCTGTCGCACTTCCTCGTGCTGCTTTTCCAATTCCGCTCTCTTCTTGTCGTAAATCTTCGTCAAGCGCGTACATTCATTCACGCCTTTCTCTACAGTCAATTTCGCAACTTCTCTCTTCATACGATCCAGTTCGGCTTTGTCTTTATGCACTTTGGCTAATTGTTTAACCTTAAATGATAAAAAAAAGTATGCAACGATCGATTTCGTATATTTTGTTTGTATGAAGAAGAAATATAATTGAATACGATACCTCGCCATGTCTCATAGCTTGCAGCTTCCGCATAGCATCTGCGGTTTCTCTATCTAAAAGCACCCTTAGCGTTTTCAATTGATTGGATTGCGATGTCTTCATCACTTTTTCGACGGTCACAAACAGGTTATCGTAATACTTTTCTTGTAATTCACGCTCCTGTTGAACGTGTGCTTTGCAGACGGCTAAAAATCGCTCACTTTGGCTTCTAGGTAAACCCCTGGGTACACCTTCATTTCCCTCGCGATTCTCCGAGAGGTCTGGGCACTCGGAAGATTCAGCCATAGCCAATGTGCTTAAACCCACTTCACTCGAAAAACTGCTTAAAAATGATGCAATTGAAAATTATAGAATTTCGCCTCGTCGCTTTCGTATACTTACATATTCTTGCTCGACAGCCGCTTCACCAACTTATTGCTCATATAGAATTTGGACTTATGCTTCTCGCCGTCGATTGAGCCTTTCTGCGATTGCATTCGCATCTTCTCTTTTTCGTGCTTCTTCCTAAGAGATTCGAGTTTCTTCTCGAGCTCCATCTTCTTCTCCCTGACTAACTTATTTTCCATGAGCTTTTCCAGACTTTCGGCCACTATGTCGTCGCTCACTGTAACAAGAAAGTTCTCAAAATGTAATACGTAATAGAGGGCAAAGCATTCTTAAACAAGAAAAATGGAAAGAAAGGAACACTCACTATTGCTAGCATTGACTGGACTTTTGCTTATCGATGTGTCGACTACTTGAACTGCGGAAGTTGGAGCAGCGTCATCCGCGTCGACTGTGTCGGAACTGCCTAAACCTGCGATAGATGGTCTACCTTGTACGTTGCTGGAAGTTGGTAGAGGACCTGGTAACTCGCCCACCGACTGTAATCGTTTAGCCTTTACAGTTTCGTCCTGCGAGCGTGCGTAAAAGCAACATTGTTACCGATATGCGTTACACGATCGCAGCATGCAGAATCAGATAAACTTACAGCTGGTTTAGAAGAACTAGGAGCGTTGCTGATTTTAACCTTATCCTTATCCTAAAAACGCGTTAGTAGTGTTAGTAAATGGGACAATTAAACTGTTAGTAGGCGAGGATTGAGAAATCGCTCAGTAACGTTTTAAATCGTACTTCGTTCGTTTCTTCCGACGGTGCTTCCAAACAATCGGTAAGAACCGACAATTGCTGCGCTCTTTTCTCCACTTCGCTCTGATACTTGATAGGATTCGCTAAAGCCTCAGCGAGTTCGCTGAGACCGTCAGGAACGTAATCCTTCACGATAACGTGTAGAAACAGACTCGCTAATGGTAATGGTTGCCCACACTCTGTTCTTAATGCGACATGTCGGTATCCTGGACACAATCCGACTACGGGTAGTACCCTGTGACCGATTAAGCGTCCGGAGTCTTCGTACGCGGCTATTCTTATCGAGGCAAGCTCAGGCAAAACTACCTGATGGAACGCAAGAACAGCACGTATTATTAAGACCGCACATTTCGGCACGGAATTTAGACACGCGGGTATTATTGTTTTACATACCTTCTTAAATACGAACGGTTCTTCATCATAAATAGGATTGATGCCGTTATTCGGGACGATTTTTGTACGGAATTTCTTCCGTACGGTATCCGCTGGTAAACCATACATATCTACCTCCACGTATGTGCCTACTCTCTTGTCAGTCAAAAATTGCGCAGATATCACGTGAATATGAACCGTACCCGCTATAATACCGTCCACAGTGGACTCAGCAAAGGGATCTAATCGCCGATCTTTCCTTCTCATAAATTCTGGCTTCAACAGATAACCACAACGTTGATTGTACTCGAATATTCCCAAATTCAATTGCATCGCCAGATCTGTTATCGATAAGAATCATTAAATTTATTAATGACAAAAGCAACATATACCGAGACAAAATAATCAGCCAAATAAAATGTCATGTACCGAGTGTTTGATAATTCAACGCAACCAGCTGACATCCTGCGTTCCAAAATACCTGAGGCATGAAATTGCTAGAATCGAACCGCGTCCCTGCCGGGTAAACCCTAGATAGTTGATGTTTGTTGTAATTTACAAACTCTAGCGGTCTCTCCTTTAGAAGAGTCATAGCTTGTTTCTCGTCGAAAGATGACATTTCATACATGCGATTCTTTTCTGTAAGACAAATTTTATCGTACAAGTGACGTAGGAATTTGTTGTGACCATTCCCGAAATGAATTAGATTTATTTCATATTCAGATTTTTTTTACATACTTTCAGCCGACTCGAAACTGCTGAAATGTACGGGCTGCACATAATTAACTAAAGCCGAAATTTCTGCACCAGCCTCTGTCTCCTTGGCTGTGGATGCTTTATCTGGCGCGGTCACTTTATCACCTATTCTCAGTTTTATATCCTCCACATTAGACTCGTCTTCTTCTGTACTCGACTCATCTTCTTCGTCTAAAGAAATAAACAGAGCGTTAAATACGCGTGCCTTCCGCCAGTATATTTATAGCCTCAATTTTCTATTTACGAACCTTCATCATCCTGGGCACTATCTTTACTACCCTGTCTTTGTTGCAGCATCGGAGGATGGGGGATATCGCCGTTTCTAATTTGCTGCTCATTTCCCGGCGTAACACCGTCAGCCATCTCGTTTTGCGGTGTTGTGTTGTCCAGCGGCTGGCCGTTCTCCTCTGCAGCGAATGGATTCACCGTGCCGTTTTCCTCGTTTTCTGGCGTGCCCTTAGCGGTGTCTGACATTTGCTGTTGTTTCTTCTGATGCTTCTTATGGTGATGGTGGTGATGCTTCTTTTTATTTTTTATTATTATTTTACGCTTGAGTAACGATGGCGGTGGAAGCTCTTGACCTGGCTCTATCTAAAAACAAAGAAATACCGTTCTTTATGGCCACAATCTTTACCTATAACTAATAGCGTTCTCATTAAGTGTAGCATCTAAAAATACCTTGTGCGATTCAAGTGGCGCATCAAGCAACATCTCGCCGAAAAACTCTCTACAGTACTGTGCAATTTTAGCTTGTTGCCTCGGGTTACAGTGATTTTCAAAACTGAGAACGACCGGAAAGTCAGACGTTTTGAAGGCGCTCTCGGCGATCGCCTCTATTACATCTCGGGCACATATTTCAGGTACAAATGTATATCTAAACAGATACAGTTTACATCGTTAATTACGAACTTTGCGCATGTTTCATCGTGTAGACACAAAATTTTCACCCGTACCCGTGAACGATAATGGGCTCGTCGACCTTCCCATTCCAAAAATCTAATTCGACACATCGGCAACCAGCTAGAAGACATTGACGATAAATCTCCACGGAGCTTTTTCCTGTAAGTTGATGCCCTAAACAAAGAAAATTTTGCAATCATTCAAATTGTATAAGTAATATACTAGATAAATAATCAATGCGTAACACTCTCGTCTACCTGTTAAGTATGTGTTGTGACTAGAATTCATAAAATAATGTGCGAGAGGTTGTTCCATATCGTCAGACAATTCAAATTTCGAGACAGCAACAATTGGATTGTCCTCACTCATGAGATATCTTAGGAAACCATCCAAACTGAGTTGACCTTTATTTGCATTACACTTGTTGGGTTCATACTGATTTATAATATCTTTGGCTCTCGCTTCATTAGCATACGGATACAATATCTCGTTGAGACGCGGATCTCTCTGCGACTGATTCAAGAATTCCACAAACTGCGGAACAGACATTAGTTTGCGTTTGCTATTGCCAACGATTCCTTCGAAAACCTTCTCCACATCTGTCCTCTGAGTGAGAGACTTGTAGAAGTTAAAGAAGTCTTCAAATTGGAATTTTTCTAACGGCACGACGTCACTCTGAGAAAAGACATTATTGACATGTAAATGTGTACCTTTAGAATATTTTGCAGTGCAAAATGTTTCTAAGTACTAATATACTTATACGCCGTAACGTAAAACTCACTTTGCTGGACGGAAAGCCAGAAATATCAAGTGCTTTCTCGACGCGCTTGCGGTCATCTTTGTTTTGTGCGAACATTTTTACTATACTGCAAAAAACGTTCGAGTATGGAAGTGAAGCTCTTTTTATAGACAGCTTTAGAATAGAGCGTTGCAACGTAACATCATACTCACTTCTTTACTGGAATCTTTTCAGATTTATCAACAGTAAGCGCAAGCTTGGTATGTGCTTTTAGTAAGAACATAGTTGTGCTGGTGTTTAATTGAATCAAATTGTACGCCAGTTGGAAAAGTTGTTCTGTCCAATGTTGTGCTATTTCTGCACGCGTCGTGCAGAAATTAATAAAATTCATATTGACAAAGTCAGAGCCATAGCAAATCGTTACAGTTTTGTCTTCTAAGGAGTCCTGAGAACCCATTGTCACGAAAGATTTCACTTTTGGATCCTACAGGAGAATGCTCAATTTAATTCACAATCGATTGAGGATCGCGGATCCTCCGCGACACAAAGATATCACAGATATATAAATAAATCTCAACTCTGATAAAATATGCTAACGCAACGATGAGTAAGCAACAAGTTTCGCGAAATGAGCTAAACACGTACTACAATGCCACGTGCAGAAGTATGTCAGCTCATTCAAAGTTTCTGTGTATTGATTTATAGGAAAACTGATCCAACAAGGCATGCCATTATTCCAATGAATACATTACTGCTTTCATCTCTACTATTGGTATAGACAATAGATGTGATAATGAAAAAAGTGAACTATGTATGGGACATAAAGTAGGTAATGTGCTATTTATAAGCGAGTCAATAATTATTATGTGATAAAGCTGTGCGTCATTAGTATAATTATAGAAAGACCAGAAAACTCTATGATTATAGTATTAATATTTACTATATTATACTAGGAGAGTATGATCTAAGATCACACACACATACATATATATATATATATATATATATATATATATATATATATATATATATATATCCCTCAAGAGTACATTCATATATTGATATGCAAAATATTTATTACTATCTAAAAAAAAACGGATATGACATCTATACCTTTGGTATTTTTGCGTATTTTCCTGTTCGCGTGTCTCTTATGATGGCTATGTCCAGCATATCCATCTCATTATTTTGATCCACCCAGTGTAAGTAAAAACCATATTTATCCACTTTCAATGTCACCGGCGTCGCTACTCCAGAATCCTATAGTCATACAGCATTTAATATCATGAAAGATTTTATTTTCACAATTCACCATAGTTATGCAAGAATGATCCAACTCACAAAAGTATGATGTTCAAGCTTTTGTTACGAATGGGCAGTTCAAGCTTTTTTACAATTTTTCTACATAAAACAAAAAAAAATTCAAGCTTTATGGATGCCTAAAATTAATTAAACAGCTTGTTTATTTTTTACTAGTTGCATCTTTTTACCTATTTTTATGGATTAAACTTGTCAATAAATATCCTTAAAGAGAAGAAAATTGATCATGGCTTGATTTCTTGAATTGCGAAGAACCTCAATACTATCCATATTTTTCACACACTATGTTATCAAATTTTAATCTTCATTTTTCCCAAAATGTACATTTCATATGGGTTACATCATTCTTGTATAACTACAGCCAATTATGTTTTTTCTAATTGCTCTAAGAATGTTCTAGCTAACAGGACGAAATAACAAGCTGATGCCATAAGAGAGGTATGTGATATTTCGTTAAATCTTATTATCACAGACTGATTTGGTTTTATCAGGCAAGGAATAGCACTTATATGCCTAAAGTGACCTTTTACATTTAGAGCTCTGCTAGATCTCGGCATAAAATCATCGACTACCATAGCTATAACATTAAAAATATACACAAACCTCATCCCACTTGACAAACTTCTCTCCATCCTGCAGCTGCTGGGGCACTTCCACAGGCTTTGTTTGCATGATGGTAACCGCGCTCTTGTTGCTCGTTATCGTGGTACCGCGGTGTCGCGAGTCTCAACTCCTCGAGAGTTTGAGCGGCACTTCCTTATATACTCTTCTTTACAGATGTATTAGCAAAGCAGCTCGTGGCACATAGAACGACAGTAGCAACGCAAAGGAGCACGCGGACGTTGACAACGAGGACGACAAAACTGACAGTGACGAGGTCGACAACGGTGACAACGGCGGCGACAACGACAATAATGACCGTAGCGATGACGAGGACAATGACGGTGGTCGCGGTGATAGCAGCTGTAACCACGGTGGCGGCGACGGCGACTCTGGTGACTGCAATAACGACGACGACGACGACGGCGACGACGGCAACGACGACGACGACGACGACGACGACGACGACGACGACGACGACGGCGGCAGCGGTGGCGGCGGCGGCGGCGACGACGACGACGACGGCGGCAGCGGTGGCGGCGGCGGCGACGGCGGCGACGACGACGACGGCGACGACGACGGCGACGACGACGGCGGCGACGACGACGACGACGGCGGCGACGACGGCGACGACGACGACGACGGCGTCGACGACGTAAGCCTCATCGAGATATCAAGCATTAGGAGCACCACACCGTATATCACCGTATTTCAATCACCGCGATTGGTATCAAGGCGAGGACGACTGTCGCCGTCGTCGTCGTCGTGTTGAATGTATCTTGCGGTGATATATACCTTACGAATCGCTCGGCGTGTCCTCGGGTAGCATGGGAACACACGCACGAAGCCGGTCACGGGCAGCTCATAGGCGCGAATGTGGTCGCGCGTACACCAAGGTCGTCCGTGGAGACATCTCACCTCGTCATCGAGGAGAAGCGTGGCGCGATCACCCGCGAACCGAGTATCCTTAACCGCACGAAGTCGTTGTCGCCGCCTTATACGCGCGCGCGCACAAGACTCGCCGTCCAGACCCGAGATTTAGACTACACTCGCCGCCGCGAGGACGAGCAACGAGAAGATACCTCGTGCGGTCGCGCGTTCTTCCGTTCAGCCGTTCGCTGCTCGCTCGTTGGTCCAGCGCTCGCTCCGAACCAGCAGCATCCTACCGCGCTGAGTGTCGTGCCGCGCGCCCAAGCAGGCCGACCGACGACAACGAGCAGCACAACCGCGCCGACCACCGTCAACACCAGGAGGCGCTCAACCGAGGCGCCGCGACGGGCGCAAGAGTGCGCGCGCGCGCGCACGCCTTTCGCGCCGAATTCGTTTCGCGATTCGATTGCGTGCGACGCTCGTCGGGTCCTGAAAATGTCGGGAATTATCGTTTACAGTTTGGCAAATTAATGTGATTTTGCGCGACAGTGTTGCACTAACAATTGTGAAGCTGCGGTGCATTAACTCGCTACTGCAATTATTTTACATTTTGTTTTTTTTTTTATAAATTAGACGCAAACTATCGACGCACCAGAAAATACATAGTATTCTAAAGAATAGTATAATTTCTATAAAATGTCTCAAAGACATCTTAAAGACGTCCAAGAGACGTCTGGAGAAATGAGACACTTCTGAAACATTTTTTAAAAGTTCACGCTATCTGGGTAGTCACTGATGTGACAGGACTGGCTGGATTCTGAAAAAGCCCGCTATCCTCTTTTACATCATGTAGTCTTACAATCTTATGCGACACGAATAAAAAAATGGATTAAATCAACCTCGAAAATATATTGCTGTGATTCGAATCTCATTTGTTGTAGGCATATAAAGAAAATTTCCTGAATCGAACTCACGTGTAAATGATACCGCGATTGCAATCGTAAATATAATATTGAGGTTATAGTTCTCATAGGTTTTATCGTATCTACTATTTGAACGCCGAGAGAGAAACAATATTGGTCAGTTGGTCACGTTAGATTCGAATCGCGCGACGCGGAGAAAGAATGATCCGCCACTCTTCCTTAAATTGTAGTCTTACCTATAATACAGATAAAGAAAATTTCCCGCAAGCACTGTCGCGACGCGAAACGAAGTTTCAAAGGGACTATGCCGGCAGCTCTTCCTGCACTTTCGTCCACTTCTCGGAATGCTCGATCTGCACGCTGCGAAGAGAACGTGATTTCTCTCGCGGTACCGCGCTCTCTCGTCTTTCTTCCGCGCTTTTCGCACGGAAAGCGACTGCGTCGGCCGCGAGAGAAAGGGTATGAAAGGGTACATGCCACAGGGAGGGATGGAGGGAGGAAAGGGGGAGAGAGAGAGAGATAGAAAGAGGAAAAGAGAGATGGGGAAGTCGACCAACGAGCGTTAACGAGGGCGCGAACAGCGTGCCGAGAGTTAACGGCACGGGGGTTGCGCAACCCTTTCGATATTATCTTACGATATCGGCGGAGCGCGTATTATATAGCCGGTCGGTCGCCGCGGCGCGATTGATTTGCGGTTAGCCGTTGCCGAGAGAAATTCCGCCGCGTGCATGTAGCATCGATTTCGCATTAGTTCCGAGTAATTTGCGTTTGTCCGCACGACGCAACAACGGCGTCAATTAAACGCGCCCTCGATCGCTCGCTGATGAGAGTACTCGGATTTTTTTTCGGACAATATACGGGAACAAAAATCCGGCACACGCGCGCGCACACACACACACCACATTTGCATACATATATGTCGTGCATATTGCGCTTCGCGAATTCGATCTAAAAATAAGCGCGCGCCCTTTTCACGAGGGAGATAGACTAATCACCTTCACCGCGCCCATTAAATCGATCCAATCTTGTCCGACTGCCATTAAACCTGAGTCAACTTGACACGGCAAACACGCGAGGTAGATCCACGACGATGACAACGACGAAGACGACGACTTCGTGTGTTCTCGCGTACTCTCCGTGTCCAATGATAGCGTTTCTTATCATCAACTCGGTACTTATTTGAATGAGACAGTCGATAAGGAGGGGCGTATAATGAAGCATGTTGAAGAGAAATCAGGTCGCGGTTCATTTCGCCAAAAAATACTTAAGACTCGCGGTCTCTCGCCGCAGCCAACTCGATTTATGACGTCAGAAGCGAGGAAATACACGTTAAAAATTCTTACAAAATACGTTGAAATATAAAATGAAATGTTTATGAAATAATACTTGCAATTGATCAAGCAGACTCGTAAAATAGTCCCGAACACTTTCCTCTAACAATCAATAAATAGCCGTAAAATTAACGTGACAGTCACGGGAAAAGGTAGGTTAAAGAGGATTGCGTGGTCACATTAATTTCAGATATATTTATTGATCGTTCGAACAAAAAGAAAGTGTTCGGACTATTTACACAAGTCTGTTCGATCGATTGCGAGTGTCATTTAATGGATCATCTTTTCTTTACAAGAATTTTTAGCTATTTTCTCGCTTCTGACGTCATCCATCACGAGTTCCGTGACGAGGAGCCAGGAGTCTCAAACACGATTATCCGTCTTGGGAAGCGGAAATGTAAAAGGGGAGAGGAAAGCATGAACCCCGACGGATAATAAAACTGATTTCCTCGTGCAGTCTTTCATTCGGAAAGGGCGTTCTTGCAAATATACAAGATTTAGCAATAAAATATAATATTAAAACAACACGATTGTATTATCTTTCTTAAACACAATATCTGCTATAATAAAGATTCTTGCTTACATTTTTACGACTAGACTTAATCAGTTGCACGTCCTGTGCACAATCTGTGCACGCCACATAGACATATGTGGGTTACATATGTGGGTTACATATGATATAGTAGTATATTGGTATATTGGTATGTTTGGTTTTCATATAGTCCCTATTTATTTCGTTGGAAATTAGCGCAAATGGTTTTTTGAGGCCTTCACATTAGAAAAAAATATCAAAAATATATATATATATGTATATATATATATATATGATATACACGAGAGAGAAACAAATGAAGGAGTGCAAATATTCAAATGCACTAATTGGCATTCATTTTAATGAAATAAATAGGAACCTTAGATAGTTACCTGAGAGCACAATAAATGTCCACCTTAAACGATGATCAAGAGAAATGCTCAGAAGCAATGGTGATGATGATCCTATATCCTAGTTGTTTAAAATATATGATGTACCATGTGCAGTGGATACATTGTAAAAGTAAAGCATCTTCAAATATCATCATTTGAATATGAGCACATATGTAAAAAGTAATCGTGTCAGTTTTTCCACGTTCGTAATTGTGAAATTACATATCCATTAATTCATCTTCGTTTCTATTGATGGGGTCTCCTTTGAGCAACACGACAATTAAGCTAAAAGAGAAGCAGAGAGACAGAAATCAATAAAATATTAAACATCCACTTCTTCCCTCTTGTTACTGCATGTTGCTGCATACGAATAAAATCAACATTTGCACGTTACCTACCAGTAGAGATAGATAAAGAAGAACACAAGACAATATCCGAGATGGATCATGACATTGCGCATGTATCTCTTTAATTGACTGCGATTATGAATTTCCGTGGGATCGTAAACTCCCATATTACCACTAGGGACACTAAAGTATTCATAATGCAGCCATATTGTCATTGGCACATTTGCCAATGTTAACCATAATTGCCCTTGTATTAACAAAAGAAAAACCAAGATAGTATGTGCTACTAACTTTGGCATCACTCCCTGTGACAAAATTGACAATAAATAAAATGATTTCTAACATATTCAAATATATTGCAATTTTTGAAATATCAGGCAGATATTTGACAAGATACATTTCTCAAGATAACAAGGTATATTCATTATTATTACCGTGTTCAACTTGGAACAACATTCTCGCGCATTCAGATAATCGCACTCAAGATCCGATAGCGTTATTATCTTTATGATGTAGTCAAGAAGAATAATATAATGAAGTGCTCACAAATAAACAATTTATATTAACCCGCGGCCAATCGCGCGCATTTATAATTCCTTTCCGTTTAAAACAAAATTATAAAATGGCAACCACATGGTTGCCAACTTGATATAATAATATGTTATAAAAGAGACCTTTAGCCGGTGTATCAACTTGCGCGTCACATAACCTTAAATATCAAAACATCACAGAGATACAATTGGCGACGATGTAATCGGCAAAGGATACATAATAAACCAGAAGAAGTAACACGCCACCCGTACTGAGCAATGCGATCATGAATAAGAATGGATCCGGGATCAAGCCCATGATGCTGTTATATTTGTGCGAAGACGCGGCGAATCACATGCGGATCGCAGCCGCGATGTTCGCCGAACACCTGTCCCGCAATTTTTAACGCACAGACGTCCACTCGTCTCGCTCAAGTTTTACCGTAAACTTCCGCGAAATAAAATATTACTGACCGACAAAATGTACACTATACAATGTCATCAACTATAGCTACAGCCTCCTCGGTCTGCAAGAGCCAAAAACAAGTCTTGATTTGACTTTGGAGGCCTCGTACGGCGAGAATGCGAAACACAGTTCTGTGTGACCGACGAGATACTATTAAAGACTGAGCCGTGGATAAATTTTCGACTCGGCCAAAGAGCCCGGAGGTAATTGAAGAACGATGATAATATCGTCCATTTCTCACATAGAGACGCTTCTGGGTGCTTTCCAATTGTTTAACACATCTTGACACATATGTACAAA